CTAGTTCATAGTTTTTCTCTGTTTACTTGTAATATAAACATTTCTAAAATAAATGTATTTTTTGAATCGTTCTTCGTATTTTCTGTCTTTTATTATAGTGCCTTATTTTGCTTGAATACCTAGTGCCTATTTCCGCCTTTTTCCTATTTTTTTTGCCTTTTTTGCAACACCTAGGTGCCTTTTCCTGCCTTTTTCGCTATTTATTTTGCCTTTTCTAGCCTATTTCGTTATTCTATTTTGCTCTTTTTTATAGGTTTTTAGGTCTAAAAATTCGTTCCCTGCTCATACTTTGCGAAAAATGGACCGGTTGGGATTGTTTTAATTTTTGAAATTTTTCGATTTTGAAAACACTTCGAATATAAAATCGAAAATCGATTTTCTTGAAATTTTTTTTGAAAACTTTAACCCATTCTGCAACGCCTAAGCCTATTCCTATTATTTCCAACTTTTTAAGTTAATGAAAAACTAACAAATTTTATCCAATTCAGCGCCAAGAATTCTCGCTGCGTCCAATCAGAATCTGTTTATTAGATGCGTTAATCAAAAAGATAAGCATTCCGCATTCTAGAGGAAGAAATGCTCTACATACATAATTGCAGTGGGTAGTACTACGCTACGACTAATCAGTTTGGCGTAATCATTTGTTATCGTTTTCATTAAAATTTGTTCAAACGCTTGGACACGCATACATGGCGTATGAGTAATATTATTTCTTCATATTTCATACAAAAAAATCATCGATTTACCAGTCGATTACGCGAAAGTGATAAGTCGCGATTGCTCGAAAACGGCTGGCTAAAAAAATAGTCTGTTCCAATAGCAGTCCAGTTTACAGGATTTCAGGTCAGAACTTACAGGAAGTCGTTCCTATTGACATAAAGCCTGCAAGTGGGAACACTTTTGAGAGAATAGTCCTAGTCGGTTAGTCCTAGCTACTTCAAACTTGTACTTTAGTATACTAAGATGTAACGAATTTTTTGTAAAATATTTTGTGGTGTAAAAATCTCGAGAAAAGTATCCTACAAATGTGTGATGCTACTCCAAGTGTTCGGTTTCAAGGCTAACACATTTAGGATCATTTAAAATGGTTTTAAGATCTTTTAGCTGTTGTGGAAATAATTCGCAAAATTATTTTTGTCGTCCCGATCACTTTTGGAAATCACTGTATGTAAGTATACAAATACATACATCTGTACATACATACATACATATGCATGCATAAATATACTGTTTGCCTCAAAAATTTAAATGTGCTAATTGTACACGCTTGGAATAACTTAAGATTTATTACCGAAAAAAAAAACGTATTTTCAACTTACATGAACTTCGAAAACGTTTCGTTGTTGGTGCCATTTATGATGGGCTGTGATAAAATACTATTGAAGCTCCAACACTCAACTATACTGGCCACTATCACGAGCATACGTATCAGCAAATAGAACATGATTACATTACCCTGAAATATGCAGGGCATAAATATGTATGTTAAAATACTTCATAGAATTACTCATAGAAACAACGATGCATTTCAGGTGTTAAATTTAAACAAAAATATCTTTTCTACTTTTATTATGACATCACAACACATAATTCGCGGACGCACTTACTATTCTTATCAGTACTACCAGCATATATGTATGTATGTAGGTATGTCTATGGTATTCTTTCACATGGCTGCGGCAAAAAAATGCATAAATTTAGTTACGACGATTTATTGGCCAAAAAGCGTCAGTATATTAATTAATTTTCTTTTTCTTAATTTTTACACTTCTTCGCAAATGTGCGATCAGCCGTAGCTGCTTATTAATTTATTGTTCAATGGCGAGAACTCGCTTTGCTGGTTCAGCTACCAAAATCTTTATACAATCTACATACAAACATACATATGCATACAGTATGTATATAGAGCTACAGCTATACATACATACATATGTGTTTATTTAATTAATTTAACTGAGAACTTTTGCACTTCGTTGCATAGTTTAGAATGAACGTAATTTTACACTAGTACTAGTACTACACCGCACAGCACAATATTAGTACTTTTTTTTCAAAAATTCTTTCGTTTGATTTAAATTAAATAAGGTGTTAGAAACGAATATGTAGTCTTTTAAAAAATAATTGTGCACTCTTTCGCAGAAATGAAGTTACTCACAATTGGCAATTGCGGAAAAAATGTGTGAGTAATGCTCACCGGTGTTTATTCCAGCAGCTTGCTTTCAGTTCAGTCTATGTATTTAGTTTTTTTATTTATTAGAGATATATGTATAGCAATGTATGTATCTACACTTTTTTACGTATTTGTGCCCTTCTTTTTGTTATACCGCTCAAAATATATACATATAATTGATACTTTTTCTTACTTTTACTACCGTTTTGACTGCCTGAATTTAGCGAGTATTGGCTAATGAATGAGCTGTTTAGTAGTGAAGACAATTTTTTGGATACTGGAATTCAAATATATTGCTTTTATTTTGTGATAAGATAACGGTAAGGGTTTTGTGTTACGCAAATTTTTTGTACTTCCATATTCATACGTACATACATATGTATGTATGTATGTACATACATATATATGGGCAGTAAATTGCTTCTTAATCAACCTTTATGTAGTAAATTTACTCGAGCCTTAGGGCAAAATTGCTCAAATTTGCTATGTAGAGTGAATACCAACTACTGAGTGGAAGATCGACCTATCTCTGCAGCCAGTTCGAAAACGCCCTATGTCAAAAACCTTTTTAAGAACGCCCTGCTTTAGAATTTGGCTGAATAACGCCCTATTTCAGAATTCATTTCAAAAACGTTTATATCAGCTGCCAATTTAAAAACGCCCTATCTCATCACATTTTCAATACATTTTGAAGTAAGATAGGGCGTTCTTCAACCAAATTCTAAGGTAGGGTGTTCTTCAATAAAATTCCGAAGTACGAACGATGTTTAATAGCTGTCAAAAACTATACAAAGTTGTTCGGACGTTCCCATTTTTTCCCATGAGATACAATTTTTTGTTTAAGAATTTAACCACACTCGTTTTTTTAATGCAAATATGAGGTTTTATTGTAAATAAGTAATACAAAGGACTTAAGGCCTGAATAGCTAATGAAAAGGTAATAATCTCGATTGATTTTATTTCGCACCAGTATGCCAAATAGTGCAAATTGACCTTATTTTGTTAATGTCAGAATCCTTGAATTCCTTTTTAAAAAGCTGATATGCTTCGTTTACTGTCAAAACCATGTAGAGCTTTGGTATATGCAAGTTTTGCTTACTTAAAAATGTTTCTTTTAATCCTGCTGCTTGTACAATATTAATTAATTTAGGGTCCTCCTTTTCACTATCATATTTGTTTAATAATTTTTTCTTAATGCTTTTTCAACTGCTTTTATGGCTTTATTGTCTACTTTTAAACTTGCCAAAATTCGAAGAAACTAATCCCTGTTTTTCGTTTTCAATGAATCTTTCTTTGCGCAAGTTAGTCCCATCTTTTTAATTTTTCTTCTATAGTTTTTTTTTCTTTCGATCTATCTTTTTTATATTCCGCCTTCCTTTCTTCAAATTCCGTCTTCACTTTATTGCTCTCTCAGCCGTGCTTTTAACGTTCGTCGAAGTCATTTTTTTGTACAACCAGAAGTATGAACTATATCGATATACCTTCATAGAAACAATATGAACAAAAATTATTTGAAGCGTTTGGACGTTCCGATTTTACATTTCATTACAATCGGTAATTCTAAAGAAAAAAATTTATGCGACTGGCAAGAGTAACCAAAACTAGCTTTTGTATTAAAATTTTGACAAATAAAGTAAACGTTACGACTTTTTTTTTATATGTAAAGTATATTTTGCGTCCGAACACTTGAAAAAAAGCACAAGTTGTAATTTAATTTTAGACGGTTTCTCATATATTTTTACGTTGTTTTTGTTGTAAGACTTACGGAACTCCAATTCTTTTTAATCGTGTACTATTATTATGAAGTCATTCTAGAAGGTATGATTTCTCCGAAAAAAAATTTTAAAGTGTAGTTGGAAAGACGAAAATATCTTGAAATGGAATGGACCAATTAGTCCAATATTTTGGTGGATGAAGAACAAAATAAGTAGTTATCGATTGGCATCTATAAACTTTGTTCACGCAAAATATTATTTCTTTTCTCTTGGTTCACACTTTCCAGAAAATACCCATATGGAAAATTCCTTGTCAACCGAATTATGACTGCGATCAAAAATGGGTTTCTAATTTTTTTTTGTATTCCGTTGACTTTGAATTTTCCATATACAGTGGTCGAAAGAATAATAGCCGCACCACATATCGACAAATTTTACTTATTATTTTCTATTTTTGTTTTGTTATTTACTTTTAGTTACTTTTTTATAAACATAAGGCCGTGCAATTAATTGATTATTCAAAATTTTGATTAATCATAAAGTAAATAACCCAATTATTCGATTAAATGGAAATTGTGATTACTCAAACTTCAGTTACTTGAGTAATCAAGATTTTGATTAACCAAAAACAAAAGTAATTTGCTTTATGATTAATCAACATTATGAGTAGAATTAGTAATAAACATTTCAAAGTACTCTTTACATATGAAGGGGTTAGAATCATAAGGGTCTAAGTGACATTTTGTGAAAATATAAGTTATACCGATATTTGTATAGTTAAGTATAGTGTTTATTTGGTGACAAAGAGTAAACATTCTTTGAATTAGTTAATTAACCTGCATTCATTTAGGCAAGAATCATTTCAAATGCATTTAACCAGAATTTACAATTAGGGGATTCACAAGACGTGTTAACCGTCGTAAAATCTTAAGCTTAACACTTGTTTATGTAAAATAGCGGTTAAAATGGTTGGGGGTTGGCTAATTATATATTCTTTATCAGTTTAAAAGAATTTCGGTTTAGTTAGAAATCCCCTAAAACCATTTTAATTAAAAAAGATGTTAACCTTAAGATTTTACGACGGTTAACACGTCTTGTGAATCCCCTAAATAAGTTATCAACTTTAACCTTAATTATCTCAAAAAAATTTCAGATCTACTTTGATCCTTTAGATTCTAACCCCTTCGTATAAATTAGTTGAAGTTCCTTGATACTTTGACAACAACGTTTCTGTTTTCAAAAATTAAAATTAAATATTTTTTCAGAATGTAAAAAATAAGGATTTTCCAAAGCAAACTCTTTTAACGAGCAAAATTAATTTTTTTGAGTAATCATATTTCAAGTAACTCGATTAATCACCGTTTTGAGTAATCAAAATCTTGATTACTCGAGTAATTGATTATTTAAATAACTGATTCACCAACTTCCTCGAGTAATCGAATAATCGCACAGCCCTAATAAAAATACATACAATTAGATTTTTAACAAAACCCGTGCTAGCTTACATGTTACAACTTTTGTAACATTTAAACAAAAATTCAACCAACCTTCGTAAAAATTGCGAGGTTTTATTTAGTTTTCTTGGAAAGATATAGTCGCGCCAGATATTGACCAGTTTTAAGATATTATTATTATTTTTTTAATTTCAGTCGGCCGCTGTGGTGTAGTGGTAAGCAGTGCGCGCTTCCATTCCGCAGCCCCCGGGTTCAAACCCTGGTCAAAGCAACATCGCAATAAATATAGAAAAAAGTTTTTTTCTTTACAGCGGTCGTCCGTCGGCAGGCAATGGCAAACCCCCGAGTGTACTTCTGCCATGAAAAACAGCTTCTCATAAAAATACAATCGCCATTCGGAGTCGGCGTAAAACTGTAGGTCCCTCCGCTTTTTGTGACAATATCAAGGCGCGCGCCACAAATCGGAGGAGAAGCTCGGCCAAACACTAACATATGTGTAAGCGCCAATCTATTATTAATATTATTATTTTTTATAAAAGTATAGTTCATTCTTTAACAAAAGCCGTGTAAATCAAGTATTAAGTTATGTGCAATATTTAATAAAAATTCAACAAACTTTCGTAAAAATTTCGAGCTTTTTAATTAGATTTCTTTAGAAAAATTTCGAGTAAGCCATTTTGTAGCCCATTGAATTCTAGTAGAATAAAGTACAAGTACAGGTACACTTCCTGTTATGCTTCTTGATGTTGTGATATAAATGGAGGGATCTCCACTTTTACTCCACCTCCTAAGGAGCCGAGCGGCGACTGCTTTTCGACAAAAACAAAACTTTTTTGATGTTGCTGGGACCTGAAATTTAACCATGGACCTCCGAGTAGCAGTAGGCACATCTAAGCTCTCGGCTACGGCGATGCAAAAAATAATATAAAAAGTTAAAATAAGGCCCAAACGCCCAAAACACACCTCCAAAACTACTGGTTTTTGTTGAAAACAGCCCCCGAAACGACAACATTTTTGTCACCCCGCTAAAATATAGGTGAATATTCAAAAAATGGACAGTATCCGATTTCTAATAGTATCGATATTGAATTATTAACCCAATTTGTACTAAATTATCGATAAAATTTTAGTCAATATCTGAGAAACTAAAGGAGATATCACAACACAGATAACACTAATCGAAAGATCTTATTTTAAAATATATAACTGCATCCATAACTAAAAATCGCCAAAATGACGCTTACGACATCCTTCAATCCAGACGACGATTTGTATATTTTTTATTTAATGTGCATAATTTTTTATGAAAGTCGAGCATATTACATAACCAGCACCATATATATTCAATTTCAAACTTCGTACAAAACTTATAAAAATTCAATAAACTTTAACAAGTACAGCCAAAAATGTTAAACTTCTTTTACTGTTTTTACAGCCCATTAAATTTT